GACCTAGTAGGCTTAACACAGGGACCATGCGTTCACATAGGCAATTGGGTAATCTCTAACACTTATTGAATAACCTTCATTCAACCCTGGCTTGTGTCTCCTCTTTATATCTTACATGCATGTATTATAATTTTACTGTTATTTTGGAATCATCACAGAATTACCTTAATAGTAGAATGTCTTTATCATTACATTCTAGACTCAAAGTGATAACTCAGTGTTAGCTTTGTAGAAAAGCTACACTCTAAAATCAAAGTGTTAACTCAGTGCTAGCTTTGTAGAAAAGCTACACTCTAAAATCAAAGTGATAACTCAGTGCTAGCTTTGTAGAAAAGCTACACTCTAAAATCAAAGTGTTAACTCAGTGTTAGGTTTTTAGAAAAGCTACACTCTAAAATCAAAGTGTTAACTCAGTGCTAGCTTTGTGGAAAAGCATATGACATACGTACTGCCCATTTCGCTCTTCTATAGTGCACTTTTCCAATAGAGTCATCTGATGCCAGTTTTGCCTCTACGAGAACCTGAGCTGTGTCACTTTGTTTGAGTGATCACCGCCTCGGTGCTCAGGAGGGGGGATAATGTACCCCTTGGTGTCTTATTAAGAACATCAATGAATCTCCAGATGGGGAAGGGTGTGATTTACACATTAGTTATGAGTCTTCATTGAGACCTGTAGTCTGTGATAGTACATTCTCCCAGTCACTTTTATGTGTGTCTGCAGTCAGTCGAGGGCCTGGCAGAAGGTTGCAAGTACAACATGTTCATGGCTGCCTGCAATAAGGCAATTAATGCCATTGATAATACACAGCTCTTACAACCATCTTGTGGGCAGCCAGCGAATTGATCTTTTCACTTGAATATTTGTAGTTTGTTAATGAAACAATTAAGGAACGACAGTGCGTGCTTAGAGTCAGAAGAAAGGACATTCACTAATATACTTTAACACAAAGTTAATGCTCTTCTGGTTCCAAACATGATAAAATGAAGTTATAACCCATCATAAAATAATAGATGATGTACGAACCGACTTATGTTGTAGTCAGGTCAAAACTGGTAAAAGGTCAAAACTTTAAAACATGTATTTCTAAAATGTAAATCCATCGGCCGTGCACCTGTATACACCCTTTGGCCAGGCACACAACCAAATACTGAATAATCTTTCGCAAATTTTGCAAATTGTTTTAGGGTTGTGAGTTTTTGACGATGTTACGTGTCACTGTCACTTGCATATGGGCATAAGTCTTGCAGATAAATCATATGTATATCATATCCAAAGATTAGTACAATCCAAGTACTGTATAGTGTCTTCACATCTTCTCTGGATAAAAATTTTGAATTCTTAGAAGAAAAAATAGAAGTACGATTTTTGAAATATTGTTTGCTGATTGATAATTGTTCTGTAATTGTTACACAGAGATACTGAGAAGAAGTTTTAATTTGTGATCATAACAAGTGATTTTTGTTGTTGATTTTTTTTTTGGAGAAGATACAAATGGAAAAAGATATGAAAATTTTTGCATGGGACACAAAAATATCCTGTTTAATATGTGAGCAATCTATTTATTTCACCCCAAAAGATGAAACATATTTAATAACCATCTAGCAAAATGGCATTCTCATCGTACTCATGAAAATGCTGAATTTCTATGACTGCATTTCTTATAACATGAAATACAATCATTTTACCATAAAAAGCTTCTTGTTTTCCTAGTGCGCTGATTTCGTGTAGCTATTTACCACAAAGAAACTAAAGATTTTCTGTTCAGAATTAATAGTTTTTGTTCATACCCTTCTAATAAAATTATTTAGATTACATACATAATAGGTAATCACTTTTATCATTAACAGTGCCTCCAGTTCTCAATAAATTTCTAACTCCGGTAGCTGCCTTCTACCCAAAGTAATCCCTAATTTAAGGTCAGGCAAACCATCGGGTGATTTAGGATGAGCCGAGCTACCTTTCAGTTCCTTGATTTAGGGTTATAGTTTTTGATGACGTAGATAAGAACATTAAATCAATTGCAGTCCAGTATAGCTGCCTATAAGGAATGCTCGAAGAGATTGGCAAATTTGGAAATATGGCTGCGTGTATTATTGTTGATTGTTTCTTGTCAAAGAGCAAAGTGTATTTATTTTGACGTTGCAGATTCCTATCAAAGTTTTATGAAGGCTGCACAAATTTGGTCCTTAAACAGAACACTCACTGTGAAAGCATTGTTAAAGGGGGCTGGAGGGGCTGTGATGGATAGAAAACACAATTGCAATCCTAACTCTATACTTTTTCAATAAATTAAAGCCTGGAGCAATTGATATGGACATCGATTTTAGATGATGACTTGTTCCAACGTTACACAGTTCCTTTAATAATCTGCTAGCTTCTGCTATTTATACCTTGCACAGTTATCATGGGGGTATATAGGTAGCCTGCTATTTGTCTAACCCAAATCCACTACATATGACATTTCGCATTTGTGTTCATGCCTTCTTTGATGATAGGTGGGATGGTTTATGTGTCCCGATTTTAAGAGCAAAAAGGACGTTGGGCCTTTCTAAGAATGTATACCGGAGAGCCTTCTGCGTATGGCAGTGATAATTGATCTAGATGGGGAATAGCATGTAAGCATCATTGTCTAGCATGCCCGTTGTTGTTGTTTGGTCGGCCTGTGTGACGGTGTGGACTTACAACCTTGTGCTTCTCAAACCTCCACAGGCTTGGAGACTCAGAGCAATTAATGTCGTGTATAAAATACATGTGTGCTGGAAAATGTCTCATCAAATTTAGATCGCTGTAAATTAGAGAGGACTACTTTGATAAAAGAGATAATGCAGTAAAGTTAGAGAAGGGGAAGAGAGAGAGAGAAGGGGGAGTAGAGAGAGAGGGTGAGTAGAGCAAGAGAGAGGGGGAATAGAGCAAGAGAGAGGGGGAGTAGAGAGAGAGAGAGAGAGAGAGAGAGAGAGGGAGTAGAGAGAGAGAGAGAGAGAGAGAGAAGAGAGAGAGGGAGGAGAAAGAGGGAGAGAGAGAGGGGAAGAAAAAAAAAGAACAAGAGATGTAGAGAAGAGAAAAGAAAAGAAAAGAAAGAAAAAAAGGATTGACATTGGATTTGACATTTCAAAAATGCACTTTTCATTAGCATGTTTATGTAAACAAACTAACAAATGAATAAAGGTATAGATATTTCATATTTATTTCAAGATACCCAGAAATATTATTTTTGGACAGCTTCCTTTTTATCTTCCCATTATGTTTTATATGACATTACCATTCAACTCCTAAAGAATGACTAAGTTGCATTGATAAAGAAAGAGCTTAACCATGTTACTGCAGAAAGTGGTTTGACGTGCCAAGTTTTACCTCTAACACTTTGGAGAAAAAAAGGATTGTTTTTCTTCTTCTTCTTAAACTTGAAATCGGTTGACAGATTTTGACGATGTTGGTATTTGATAAACAATGTAAAGAGTCACAGTGATACAAAATCAATTTCTTATTTTGTTACATGGTTGTAGACCTGATGACGCCTGAAGGGTTAATATCAATCCAAAATAAGAAAACCTTCGACTCCTTCCATTTTAAGTGAAACTCATTTGGTTGGAGGCTTGGAGCGAGAACGGACAGTTCCAAAGAGCCTTGTTGGTTGCCTCTAACAAATATTATTTCCTGTCCATCCCCCGACATTGTTTGAGTTTGTCCAAATCCCAAGCCAATTTCAATGAATATCTCACTATTTGGCCTTCTTGATCACTGTATTATTTACTGTTCAATTTATTGTGGGGTACAGCCTCGGGATGGTGCGCAGGTTGGCCGACAGTCGCATCTTTCAGACACTGTGGACATTGGCGATCCGTTATTTGCTATCGTGGCGTTTCCTTGGAGCTTTATTTTGTCATAGAAAATAGTTGATTCTTGTATAGCTCTCATATTCTTCAGACTTGACACTCCTGACACTTTACAATTATTACCCCGGTTTTAGCATGGCTGCCGTTAGAGCGCTCTAGCATTTCAAGGAATTAATTCCTGCCAGGTGCCCATTTTCATCACCTGGGTCGAGTGTGGCAAATGTAGATCCATGTCTTGCTGTAAGTGCCGCGGCAGGACTTGAACCGCAGATAGAGGACTAAGGCTTCTGTCGCTGTGATCCAAGGTTCCCCCATGCCATTTGTGCTCTGTGTGGTATTTCGTTAAAGATGTGGTTGCAATCGTGGTTTAGGATAGAGTTTGGATTAGGGTTAGGGTTCGGTGCAGTATTTTGTCCGGAGTAAGTTGCCTGAGCATGTATTTCAGAGTGTTCAGGTTTTGAGCACCAGAGGAAGTGTCTTCTTGAAGTATAGTTGAAGGGAATCTTTACTTTCACAATGCCATGAATGGATATACTTTGGTGATATTTTACAGTCCATCTCAATGCTGACTAAACAAGTGATTAGGATGTAAAGCAGCTGATGCAAAGGCTATCTGAAGCTTGTTTTAGGTTTTCTGACCTAGCAACATTTGGTTCATACAAAATGAAAGAAATTTGAAAATGTGTGTAACAGCTATAATATAAACAATGACTTTGCCTTATATGAAACGAACATAATCGCAAAAACTTGCAGAAAATTCAGAGCAGTTCTAATACCCCATATATCCTACAGAAGTTATGTTGGACTACACGAAACATGGTAATGTTCGCTCATTTCAGTAACTGGACAAGGGTCACAAGACTATTGAAATCGAATTTTGAATTGTCAAAATTCTTTGCAATCGTGTCCAGGGTCTCTACGAGAGAGACTAGATTCAGGAGAGGGCAAATATTCCTGGTTTGGTTTGCTGTGACGGCATTCCTCCAGTATCAATCATCAAGACATTGCCTTTTCCCAATGACGTAGCTTTTGAGATGGGATGCAGGTTGCCATAGCAACCCCTCCAGTCCAATACCCAGTAGCCCTGCATTAACCTGCTCATCACTGACCCCCCTGCCCCCCCCCCCCTGTCGTGACCAAGAGAAAGGAAATTTGCCGGAGGAAATATGAGTGGGAAGTGGCGTAGCCCACTTGTAAGTAGAGGAGGGGATGGGGAAGCAAGGTGGACATCTATTTTTCAATCAAAATGCCGTTGCATTGTAGAAACCTTAATTGCTTTACAAGCTTGCTTTCATGTAGGTCCCGTCGTATTTCTCTCAGTTAAATCAGTACTCTAATTGACCACTCATTTTTGTTTTTTATTATGTATTATTGATTGTTTTTTTATCACCAAACAAAAAATGTACTTTATTTTTATGGAACATGAGAAATATGACAATAAATAAAATTAAAAAAATCTAATATCACTACTGGTAAATGAAAGAAAAAACCTTAGACGTTTATCAATGTCATTATTATGAAATGTTATTAGATAAATGCTAAGCCTTTTAGTTGTAATTTCAAGATGATACTACACCCATCTAGCTTCTATGAATTACAAAGTTTGTTACATGTACAATATATAATGGGCTCGTTAAAAATGACAGTATCTTTCATTCCAAACCAGAAGGGCATAAACTCTATTAGAAAGTATACATTATTGCCCTTCTGGCTCCAGATTTTGACAATGTTTTCATATGTATGTATATTATGCAGTGTCTCACAAGAAATATATTTGAACTAAAAAGAATGCTTTTAGTTTGTTGCCATGTTTCTATTTCTTGACAGAGGCGTTTATTAGACGAATATATATAATATAAAAAAACAGATATTATTATATATTTCTGAAAATACAGGCATTAGCACAAATCAGGCTGTCGCCAAGGGAATCCTTTATAAACTTTCCCACCCCATAGAGCTATTACATGTACATGTAGTGCTATTATTTATTATCCTTCTGGCTCACATGAAGGCATGGTATAATGTCAGTTATCTAATAGTTTTTCAGAAGATATGAAATGTACAAATGTGCATTAGAAATATCATATATGGGTTATGCCATAATGCCATAGTACCATCTATAGACAGTGGCACATTTTAGACTTAAGCATATGCATGTTTCTTACATTACAGGCATTAACATAATTCAGCCTCCAGCTATAAAGGGGAAGCTATCTTACTAGGAAATTTCCCACCGTGAACCCGTTATTTTTTAAGTTTTCATAGAAAGCGGAGACGCAGACCACTTCTCCCCTTCCACAATACTAACTGTTTAACTGTCATGAAGATGGGAACGATCCTATCTCGGAGATCGTGATGACGCTCGAGCCTTAATCATTACCATGGTAACCGGGTATACCCGAAAATGTGTTTTTTATTGTGTGTGCATTGGGTATTCATCGTGAGATCCTCTTCATAAATGAGAAGGGACATATGACAGTATGAAGAAAATTCAATTGAAATGTCAAAATGCTCTTAAATTTAATCACAAGACGGCAATATACTTGCGCAAGTTGTTCATCCGAGAACGCGTAATGAGAACATGAGTTAGTCGGAGATAGGGAAATATATAGCAAATTCAGAAGCAGAGTACATGATTAATGTAGTCTGGAGATGCATTGAAAAGGCACCTTGTCTTAGGTATACCTTGGTGGGGACATGCAATACCTCTGACCTCATCTTTGACTTTATTTTTAGTCAGAGTTTAACCATCTCCCAAGAAAGAAATGAAATGAAAATTATGCTCCAGACGGAAAGTTGCTTATAAGCCACTGTATGAGAATATATATAAAGAGTGTGCATGTGAATAAAGTCTATTTTTAGTTTTATTGTCAAGGAATTTAGACTCTGTGTATGGATGATGTGTTTCCTAGGTGACTCCTTGATAACATCCAGTAGCATTGTGAAGAAAACAAAGTAGTCAAATATTGCTGGAGTAACAAAACTCCTGCATATTAAAATAAAGAGTAAAGTCCCTTTCGCATATGATGCAGCAAAACCTGGGCATTTTTTTTTGTATGATGATGTAAAGTGTAATAAGCTTCATGTTTCCATCTTATAACACAGGGCTCAGTGAATACGTGCAGGGCCTTGGTTGCATGCAGTCGCCATTTATTTACTTGTAAAAATAATGCGACTATATTTTTTGGCAGCGGTTTACCATTTCATATCTGAACAAACCTTTGGAGTTACTTACATCAGGAAGCATGTTTTGAAAATGATTTTGTTAAGCCCCCAGGTATTGTCACTTTATCTTATGTAACAAAAAAAACTGTGATATAAAAGATATATTCATATTTGATTAACTGGGTCCTCTATCTCATGTAGCAAATTATTCTAGCCCAGAACTGGCGATGTTGTTTTCCTCTGAATATTATATTGTTTTTATTATTAATTTTCTAATATGTTATTTTTTTCCAAATAAACTCAATGCTGAATTTGTTTGGCCCTGAAACGTTATGTGCCCTTGCCCTTTTAAAGTCCAGAACAAATGTTTATACATGTATATCTTTTGAATAGTAACAAATGTTATATCATTATTGTGTACCAAATTCTTAAAGGACATTAACTCTTTTTGTTGTTGAATGATATGAGTTAACCTCTTTCTGGCTTCCAACACAGCAGAAAAGATACATGCTCATTTTTGTTTTAATGGTTTGGGAATGCATGTATTTCTGTGTAGATCTTTTGCATTGCTGTTTGCAATAAAAAGACTAAGGCTTGCTTTTATTTGTTTTGTTGAAACTATTTGCTTAATTTGGTATTGTTGGTAATAATTTTACTCCAGCAATCTTCAAATTCTTTTGTTTGTGAATTTTCTGTAATATTTTTTCATTTTTGTGTATATCATTGTAAAACTATAATCTTTTATGCATGCTTGTATATACCGGAATGCACCAATTGTAGCTCATACATTGTGTGTTTGTTGTGGGTGTTTTGTGCTTTATAACCATAGCTACATGTACTAATTGCTTCACATAGCTTTTGTCATATTCTCATTAATCTTCATGTGTTCTACTTATTAGTCATGTTTGTATGGTATTGGTATTCACAGAAGTGTACACTATACTTCGAATGTAGAATGTATAGAGGCATGCATGACCTTTTACTAGTTTTAGTTATTCAGTTGTTCATAAGTTGCTAAGTGCTTTTTTGGTAGTGTATTAACAGCATCCTTTATTTTTCAAACATTTTACCTCGTGCCAGGATAGAAGAGAAAGTGTAGTTTCAAATGCATTCAATTTGCCCATAATGTTATCCACTTTGACAATATTGCTAAATGTATAATAATAGTATGTCTAGACCAATGCCCTTTTTTGCTCTTGACAGGCAAGATATTCCACATAGGAGATTTTTATCTCCCTGATATTTGTTATGTATATTGATATATTTGAGAAATATCTATGCATTTTGTAGATAATTATCAAAATTTTGATTATAGATAGTGCTAAAAATTGCACATTCAGAAATTATGTGCCCAAGTTCCTACTCTCCCACTGAAATGCATTACTTTTTGGGGAGGGTTTTTTTCTTCTTCAAAATTAAGATCAAGATATGATCCTAACTGGTATTAACCTGATGCAAGACGTGAAGTGTATTGTTTGTATATTTATTTAAGGATTTTTCTCTTAAACGGTTTAGTCTCTTTTTAAAATTTTGAGGACATTATTTCTAAATATCTTCTATTTTTTTTTATCTCCAGACCAATAGAGAGATGCTTCAGTTTATCCGAAGATCATATCTTCCAGGTGGATCTTGCCTTCAACATTTTCTTTCTCCTCTACTTTATTCTGAGGGTAAGTTCTTTCTTTTCATCTCAATGACAGTGAAGATAATATTTATTGATTGGTGATGATGATGATGAGGATTGTAATGATGATGATGGGGATTGTAATGATGATGATGGGGATTGTAATGATGATGATGATGATGATGATGATGGTGGGGATGATGATGATGATAATGATAATGAGGAGGAGGATGATGATGATGATGATGATGGTGGTGGTGATGATGATGATGATGATGATGATGGTGGTGGTGGTGGTGGTGGTGGTGGTGGTGGTGGTGATGATGATGATGATGATGATGATGATGATGATGATGATGATGATGGTGATGGTGGTGGTGGTGGTGGTGGTGATGATGATGATGATGATGGTGGGGATGATGATGATGATGATGATAATGATAATGAGGAGGAGGAGGATGATGATGATGATGATGATGATGGTGGTGGTGGTGATGATGATGATGATGATGATGATGATGATGGTGATGGTGGTGGTGGTGATGATGATGATGATGATGATAATAATGATAATGAGGAGGAGGATGATGATGATGATGATGATGGTAGTGGTGGTGGTGATGATGATGATGATGATGATGATGATGATGATGAGGATGATGATGATGGGGTAGTAATGATAATGGTGATGATGATGAAAATAAATCGGCATTGAAATTAAAACCATGGTTTAGGTTGGTTCACTGCATATCTGTTACAAATTTGAGTTTAATTTATACATCCTTGCAATCAGATATCAGATATTTGTACTCCTCTTTTTTTAAAACCTTTTTTGTTAATAAAAAAAGGAAGTAATAGTATATAAAATTGTATAGATACTACAAAAGAAAGTATATAAATGTAGAAAAGAGAAATAGCCCAGGTCATGTTTTGTTATTAACAATGCATGGCTAATACTTCATATTATTCATGATGGTAAATATAAATACATGTGATACACAATGTACACCAATATTAACGGACATGTCTGACATGTCTTCTGTTTAGGGTCACAAGGGCGTTAACTCCATGTCGAAGTAATATGGATGGATGCCATTGTGGCTCCAAACAGACAATGTTACATAAATGCGAAATGGACATTAAGCAGTACATCCGTGTAATGGGCTCTTGTACGATTTCAGAACATGCATTCTCTGGCGGTATACCTATAACATGGGCCTCCACACCTAGGGTCTGGTAACAAATGGAGAAGGTCATTCTGAAATTCCTCCTTCATATTTACTTGAAATGGATCACTGGCGATAACATTTCCTCTAATCTCATTTACCACTCTGGAGACGCCTGCACCGTGGAGAGTGAGAGAGAGAGAGAGAGAGAGAAGGGAAAGAAAGGAAAGAAGAGAGAAAAGGTAGAAATGTGGAGAGAGAGAGAGAGAAAGAGAGAGAGAGAGAGAAGGGAGAAAGAGGAAAGAAGAAAGAAAGGTAGAATTGTGGGGAGAGAGAGATTACACTCTACTCACTCATAAACAGCGAGAGATAGCAAACGATCTGTATTTGATTTCAACTTTTTTTTCAATTTGCTCAATATAATTTTGAATAATTGCTTTAATACTGAAGCCAAATTTGAAGGTTGACAATGTCAACAATAACAGCAACAACGTAAACAACAAAACAATAACAACAAATACTAAGCCTAGATTTTATTAGAGGTTATTACATGATTTTGGAGGGAAAAAACCCCCAAAATAATACAAAATACATTTGTACCAATATTGTTGGATTGACAGTATTACTCAAGAGAAATTTCATTGTTTTATGGAGAATTTCTTACTGAAGCCAAATTTGAAGGATGTCAATATCAACAATAACAGCAACAACAACAAATAATAAGCCTAGATGTTATTGGAGGCTATTACGTGATTTTGGAGGATAAAAAAAACAAAATAAAACAAATACATTTGTACTAATATTGTTGGATTGACAGTGACAATATGTATTCAAGAGAAATGTCAATATTTTTTTTAACGTTAATCTCCACACCGCTCTTTTTTTTTTAAAGTGAGCAGTTTAATTTTTATTTAAATAGCTATCACCAGTATACAGCAGTATACAACTGTATAAAATACAGCTTGCATCGTACCCAAATAACCCTGCCATCTCATCCAGATATAAATGCTTCTTCCTCTAAGGCCAGACCGTGCCTCCAATACTTTAGAGGATAATAGGAATATCTCCTGATAGGAATATCCAATTGTAGGAATTATCTTCCCTGGCATTTAGACTTCGGTATCACCCCCTGAGAGCTAAAAGGGCATTTACCGGTAGTCATATCTTTAAACACAGAGTCAGCATTTAGACTGCAGTTACATCCCGTGAGAGCTAAAAGGGCATTAAGTCATATCTTTAAACACAGAGTCTGCATTTAGACTGCAGTACCATCGCCCTGAGAGCTAAAAGGGTCTTAAGTCATATCTTTAAACACAGAGTCTGCATTTAGACTTCAGTATCATCGCTCTGAGAGCTATAAGGGCATTTAGTCATATATTTTAACACCGAGTCTGTGCCTTTCTGACTCTTAAGAGAAAATTATCTTCTAAGAGCTAAAAGGGATAAAAATTACACTTCTAACAGACTTAATGCCCTTCTGGCTCTGAATTGGAAATAGCTTCCCCTGAGAGCTAAAAGGACTCAAAATCATATAATTTAAAGACGATAGCATCTCCCGAAAGCTAAAAGATAATTAAAACACATCTTGTAACACAGAGTTAATGCCCTTCTGGCTCCAAAGAAATTATATATTTCTCCTTAGATCTAAAAAGGCATTAAAATCACTTATTTTAATATAGCATGTCTGGCTCTTAACATCAATATTTGTGGAGAACATCTTTCGATTGTTGAAATTCAGAAGGGCGAGATGTGGTACAATGACTTTCTGGCTCTGAACAGAGTATATGCATGTTGTATCTTTAGAGTGTACTAGATTAGATGTCTACCCACCAAACAAGTAACACGCTAGAGCCCTGGTAATATGTTGTTTTCTCAGCCCCTGGATTGGAAACAATTGCTTTGAAAACAAAGCAGAATGTATGATGCGTTTGACATTTTGTTGGATGATCCATAAACCACTTGTATTTCATGTCTTCCATAAGCCTTAAAGATAAAGTTGTGTTATGGTCATGCGGTTGCATTGTGAAAGAAATGTTGTGGAATCGAACAGAAAAAAGGTTGATCATCTAGCATATAAGTATTGTCATCAAAATGATAAGAAATTTGGCCCAGTCTTGGTAAAGTTACAAGCACTGTACATATAAAGATATATATGGGACTACACAAACATGTGGCATAAAAATCTGTCCCAATTTTGTGATCTTACATGCCATATTTAGAATATTAAGGGATTTGAAGAGCCATGCTTTTCAGGCAACATTTTTTCTCTGATGTTCTTACACACTTGCATAAAACAATGATGACGCTCACAATTTATTTTTCACCTCTTCCCAGAACTCAACCTTCTCTTTAAACTGTATCATCGAAAGGTTTTTAGAAATACTGCAATTCAACCTTGATCCTGAAGCTTATGATATGCCTCTGAAAAATTATATTAATAATTTTTGTTTTTTTGTTTTTTTGTTAATGCATCGCATCCCAGGGGCTGAATGGTACAATATTTTTACAAAAATGTTTACCTGATAACAAAATACACTAAATGGAATTACAATAATACAAGTAAACAAATTGTATGCAATTGTAAATTACTCATGAGTGTAAAACACACACTGGAGTCTACCATTAAATGAGTAGTACAATTTAAATGTAGACATGAAGGTTCAAAATATGCAATTTCTCATTGCATAAAATATAAAGATTTATGGTGAGAATCGTTTATATCACTTTGAACATTGATTTTGCAAATCTTTTGTCCAGTATTGTAGTTCCTCTTACCAATTTATCATTCAGATATTTAGAAGTCATGTGAGGTTATTGTTTAAGCTTGATTTTTATTTTAAGCTTGTTTCACTTTTACTCTGCTACATTCAGTATCAAATTTGATTTATACAGGACAAATGTAATTTGCCAAGATAATGTAAAAATATAATTGATTTGAGTCAAAATATTGAGAAAGAGCTTAATTTTTTTCATGTGACATTTGTACTTCTATGTAGTACATTTATTTTGCTAACTTCATTAATGTATACCAGTATTCATATTCATCCACACTCAACTTCAATATGCATACATACCATATTAACATTGATGCAATGCATACATTAAATCAGATACATGTATTAAAAATACTTTATTTGTTATATTTTGTATTTTCAGTTTATAGCTGCTCAGGACAAATTCTGGTTCTGGCTTTCACTGAATTCTGTTGTGGATTTCTTCACCATTCCTCCAATATTTGTATCCATCTATATGGTCAGAACATGGCTTGGTAAGTTTATTATCTTTAAATATCTTTTATAACATTGCCTCACCTTTTTCTTATGCATTTCGTTCCTGTTTTCACGAAGTGATGGTAGTGAGGAAATGCGATTTTCATTCACTACCGTCACTTCGTGATAAAAGGATGATTTCTCTCTTTCTTTCTTTTCTCTCTCAATCTCTCACCCTCTTACTCTATCACTCTCACATTCTCTCTCCCTCTCACACAAACACACTCACTCCCCCCTCCCCCTCATCCCTCTCTATCCCCCTCTCTCTCCCCTCTCTCTCCCCTCTCTCTCCCTTCCTCCCCTCTCTCTCCCTTCCTCCCCCTCTCTCTCCCTTCCTCCCCCTCTCTCTCCCTTCCTCCCCCTCTCTCTCCCTTCCTCCCCCTCTCTCTCCCTTCCTCCCCTCTCTCTCCCTTCCTCCCTCCCCCTCTCCCTCCCTCTCTCCCTCCCTCCCTCCCCCTCTCTCTCCCACCCTCCTCTCTCTCTCTCCCACCCTCCTCTCTCTCTCCCTTCCTCCCCCTCTCTCTCCCTTCCTCCCTCCCCTCTCTCTCCCTCCCTCCCCCTCTCTCTCCCTCCCTCCCCCTCTCTCTCCCTTCCTCCCTTCTCTCTCCCTTCCTCCCCCTCTCTCTCCCTCCCTCCCCCTCTCTCTCCCTCCCTCCCCCTCTCTCCCTTCCTCCCCCTCTCTCTCTCTCTCTCCCTCCCCCTCTCTCTCTCTCCTTGCCCTCCCCTCTCCCCCTTTCTCCCTCCTTCCCCTCTCCATCTTCTCCTTCTCCCTATGATGGAAGACATTATTCCTTGAGTTTGCCCAGCTGTTCAGGTGTTCATGTAGTATACACCTGGGAGTCGAGTGGAAATGTTCATATGAAAGATCACTCTTGCCAGCCCGCTACTAGACACCATACATGAATGATACTGGCCAGCAATGGAGGCCAACAAGGGTTTCTTACTACTCCTCATCCCAAATGTACAAATATTCCATGCTTCGGTGTAAAATATAACAAAATTTATAAAAGACACCAACAAAATAATCAGATTTTACTGAGGCCAAAGTGGAAATATAATGTCACGCGGCGAAATTCTGAATTTGTGGGTGAATATATATATATCGCATAATGAAATGCATGCAATATTTGTTAAATAAAATTTAAGGGTAATTGCAATCTCCTGCCTTCCTTCTGTTTTGAATACGGCCCTTTCGACTACATTCAGGTTGTCTCTGTGTCAAACATTCGCAGCTTAGACAATGAAAAAAATGGATACGCACAGGTAGAGAGGGGCACAGTCCAATTCACTTTTGTTCGCATTGTACTTTTCCAAAAAAAAATGCTTATTGTCACATGATAGCATCTCAGCCAATAGGATGCTCGGAACAAACACCATATTTTATATAATATTATTTTCTAACCTATTAAGTCCCCAATTGTTTTTATTATAAATGGCATTACCCATAGAACACTGGTCCAACTTTTACTAACACTTTGGTTGCTTTCTTCACCTCTCTGTACAGTCACTCATTTGCCACACATGCAATTTTGCACAAAACTACAGGCACCAATTGACGGAAGGATGCTTTGTGCAACACAGTGGCTTTACAAAATTATCCATTTTCAGCACTGATGGGCTCCTCTTTGACACCGATATAGGTTAATTTTGCGCTTGAATTCTTGAAGCCTTTGGTATATCTTCCCCATGATAAATACAATGTGGCACGGGTAGAGAACATGGAAAATTAATGGGGGATAGATTTTTTTTAATAAAAAAAATGTAGGAGGAAAGGGAGGGAGAGGTACAGAGAGGAAGAGAGAGAGAGAGAGAGAGAGAGAGAGTGAGTGGGAGGGAAGAGAGATATGGAGCACGGGAGTGGTAGAAAGAAAGAAAGAAATGTAGATAGACATTGACACAGAGAGAGAGAGGGAGAGAGAAGAGGGGGGGGGGGGAGAGGAATTACCCTGGACTATTAATCATGCCTATAATTACGGTGTTTTATGAGATGAAATGAACTACTAATCACCTCTGTAGCCCTCAATTAGTTAACGACAACGTTTGTATTATGTCTATACTGTAGCTTTGATCATTAAATTGATCCTCCAGTGAGATACCAGGAGGCCATATGACACAAACATCTGTTGAGAGCCAGAAGGGCGTTAGCTCTGGGTTAGATGATATTAGGGAATGCCCTTGCGGCTCGTATGTTAACAGCTAAAAGAGATCCTGTAAAGCGATACCAGGGGCCATATTGAGACTGAAGGGTGTTAATTCTACTATGGAAGATATTTGTTAATGTCTGTCTGGCTCTCATGCCTATGTAGCCATGATCATGGGCATTCATGTAGTCAAGGGGGGGGGGAGCTTGGGGTTATGTGCCCCTTCTCCCCCCCCCCCCCCTCTCCGGTACCTCCCCACAAACAATTTAATACAAATTCAAAAATAAAAGAGAGGTTGTTCTTTGATGTTTAGTAACGCCGCACATTAAAGCTATGTCATGCCTTGGAAATGTCCAGTTTTAATACATTAACATGCAATGTTTCGCTCCCTCACAGAATATACAATTTAATTGTATGATTTAGCCTGCTTCCCCCACCAAAAAGTTCTGGTCCCAACTATAAAAAAAAGAAAAAAGTGATGACCCCCCCCCCCCCACTAGTGCCCAGACTAAAGAGTCCTGGCTACGCCACTAATTATAAGAGAGATACTCTAAAAGAGGTATGATAGGTGATATGTTTAGAGCCATAAGGCTTTTAACTCGGTGCTAATTATTATGAGTTAATGCCCTTCTGGCTCACAGCAGGACAATCAAGCTGTATGGCTATGGAATAAAATAGGCTTGGACATACCATCAACTTAATTCTTGATGAATCGGGATGGGTGCGTCACCAAGGCGGACTGTTAAAATTGCAGGGTAATATTAAAATCTCTTCCTTCTCCCCACTCAAAGCATTTTATCTAATGAGGGTTGAAAGGGGCATGAAGTTCAAAGTGTACCAATCACAAAAACATGTTGTGTTCTTTATGTATGGGTTCCATGTTGCCATACTGTAGTTAAACTATATGAGCTTTAAATATTTCTCTGACAAAGAGCTATTGCAGTTTGAATACAATCCCAACGAACTGTAAATCCCCTTAGTGAGTAAACTACGCAATGCATGCATACATGCTCAAATAGAATAGGAAGCGCACAGACAAATGACTTCGGTTTCGTACAAGCCCTTTTTGCTGGGTATTATGTCATCCTTTAATTTCTTCATACTCCTTAATAGACTACCAGGTAAAGTTTTTTGAGGTTGATTTTATTCACTTTCTTGCTATACTCAAATTATTTTTTCCAGATCATTGGTACACTTCAATCCCTGTCTGACTGTTCGAAAAATATTTGTTGTTCATGACACAATAGCAAAATATTCTCCATAAAGGATAAAAACAAACATAGGCATTGACAAAGTACACGTACAAAGAAATTAGATGTAGACAGCATGACCAATAGGCATTTGCGTATATATCTAGACTTTTACAGTTCATGGCATTTCTATAAATGTATTTATCTTAATCAAAGTTTGTCCGCTGTATATTGAACGTGCGCAGTTTAAGTGGAGCCGTGGGTCTGTTTTAATGCAGCTCTTCATTAATGAACTGCGCAGAGAACCTTAATGAATTGCGAGTGACGTGGAGGATACCCCTAAATCTACCCTTGGCGGTTCAAGCGAGGGCTTTGGTCCGCATTTTGACGAAGCCGCAGGCGTGTCACGTAGCCCAGGGTGAATGCACTCTGCATGCAAAAACAGATTTAGGGGATTTGGGGAAGAATGGTGGAAATCTTGAAGGACACCCAAAATACAGCCTGAAACGTTCCCATTTCACTTTAATCAATGTTTCTAAAAGGCAAAGTGATATGAATTGTGAATGTCTCTGTAATTCAAAGCTCTTTAATTCGATTCATATTACATCTGTCCCAAGGCCAAAAGAGCTTTAACTCTCATCCTTTAATACAGACTTAAACCCCTACTGGCTCTAAACAGACAATTTCTTTAAATCAATTTTACCCCCATTTTGTGAAGGTATTCAATATTGTCCGTTTGGACTTAGAAGGGAGTTGATGCTATCTAAAATAATATGATCTAACGTCCTTTTGGCTCCAATGAGATAGTATGCAGAGTATCATGAGAATATTTCCAAAGCATGATGCTGTAATAGATAGGAAAAGACCTGAGATTGTGTAGAGCAAGTAGCTTTTGTCGGGTATGCCTTAAATACATTCATGTGTGTGTGTGTGTGTGTGTGTGTACAAAATAAGTATCATCTAGAGTAGATGTGGAATTATCTATCTTGTAAAATACCCTTTTTTCAAGTAGATAGCATATTTTGTCTGTTTGGAGCCTCTACCTTGAAAGCTTCGTGTTTTCTTCTCTTCCCTCCCTCCCACCCTCCTTCCCCTCCCACTATCTCTATCTCCCCCTTCCTCCCCCTCTCCCTCTCTCTTCCTCCCCTTCTTTCTCCCCTCCCTCCCCTTCCCTCTCTCCCCCTCCATCCCCTTCCCTCTCTCCCCCTCCATCCCCTTCCCTCTCTCCCCCTCCATCCCCTTCCCTCTCTCCCCCTCCATCCCCTTCCCTCTCTCCCCCTCCCTCCCCTTCCCTCTGTCCCCCTCCATCCCCTTCCCTCTGTCCCCCTCCATCCCCTTCCCTCTCTCCCCCTCCATCCCCTTCCCTCTCTCCCCCTCCATCCCCTTCTCTCTCTCCCCCTCCATCCCCTTCCCTCTCTCCCCCTCCCTCCCCTTCCCTCTCTCCCCCTCCATCCCCTTCCCTCTCTCCCCCTCCATCCCCTTCTCTCTCTCCTATATTCTTTTCTGACCCCCCTCTCTCTTTCTCTGTCTCCCTCCCCCTCTGTCTCCCTCTCTCTCTCTCTCTCTCTCTCTCTCTCTCTCTCTCTCTCCATTCTGGTATCTCAATTCTGGTATCTTTTTTCTGACACCTCTGTCTCTGTCTTTCTGTCTTTCTCTCCCCTGTTCATGTATCTAACACCTCTTCTCTTGTGCTGCTCTTTCCCTTCTCTCTCTCTCTCTCTCTCTCTCTCTCTCTCTCTCTCTCTCTCTCTCGTTTCCCCTTGCCTGTCACTTTTCTTCTCTCTTTACTTCTTTTTTTCTTGTTGCTATTTCCTTCTCTGTCCATCTGTTCTTTGTTTTAAATCTCTTTTTTATATTTTGAGATTTCTTTCATGTTTTCACCCTCTAATATCACTTCTAGCCTTTTTTATTTAAAATTATTATGTATATATGCAGTTAATTATTCGCTTTTGAATTATGTTGTTAAAAATAAACATGTACCAGTATTTGAATTCTCAATTCCTCTATTCTATATTATTTTTTAATCTTAGGCCTGAGATTCTTGAGGGCACTTCGTCTCATGCAGCTTTCAGAGATTCTCCAGTTCCTGAGTATTCTCAGGACCAGCAACTCCATCAAGCTTCTCAACCTGGTTACACTCTTATTAACACTCTGGCTGGGATTCGCAGGCATCATACACCTGGTAAGGAGTCTAAGTTTATCTCTTAAATGCTGAGCAGTAAACTTGAATAAGTTTAACACAGGTAAAGGCTGGCAACCCATTCAATGTTGCTAGACCGGGTAAGATCGTAACTACAATATTCCTGTGACTTCAATAAAAGTTTCATGTTCATAGATAACCTGATAATTGTCAATGCATAATGCATTAGAAAGTAGGTGATTTATAATATTAATAGAATGAAAAATTCATTAATCAAATGGATAATTTCAACAAAATTCATTGATTAATAAATTGTCAGAGATGTAGTGATATATTTAAGTTTTAGGTTTGGTTCGGTTAGGGTTGGGTTTGCATGTATAGGTATAGTAATGGGGTCAGGGTTGATGCTTAGAATTACTTTACAGTAGCAAACGATTGTGGAGCAACGTGTGCTACTAGAGGAGGTGTCGCACAATCGTTTTAATTACATGACCATGGCATTCAACGTCACTGGACCTTACTGATACATCTATTCTTGTTTGTCCATGCATGCAGTTGAAATTGAGAATAGAATTTGGCATGCTTCATAGTGATGTATGTGAGAAGGCAGTGTTGGGAGAGAGCTTAAAAATGAACTTAAAGGGATCAGTCAGGTTAGGTCACCTCGAATAATGAAAACAATTCTTTTAGTAAAAGTGGAGTAGACATAAAATCACCTGTATAATCTGACCATTAGGTCAGTAATCATCTAAAGAGCATTAAATCCTAGAGCAATACAAGATAATTGTACGTTTAATACCTGCATAGAAATGAATTGCATCAAATTAGGCCGTTTGTGCTTTGGGAAATCTAATGCGTGTCACTTTTTCCTTTATTTAGAGTGCAGTTTTAGTATCAAACTTGCAATATTATGTTTGCAGAAGTAATGTTAGGAGCCGCTATTTTTGATAGAGGATACCAATAAGAAACCACAAACATACAGAGACAGAGATGAAAAAAAAGTTGTTCATCCCCATTAAAACAGATTAAAGAAATCACATGTATTTGTGAAGGCAGGCAATGAATACTATGAGGCATGATGTCTGGAAAGGTTACTGAGTTTTGTATTTCAAAAGCCAATTTATACATTATATTAGGGTGCGCATACAAGAGCACCTGCCTGCATCAATTTACAGGGAAGATAATGAGATGCAGGAAAAAGCATTTTCATTAGCAGAAAAAGAAATGAGATGAGGTAAAGGGGCAGAAGAAGAAGTAGGAGAAGGAGAAAGATTGAGGAAGAAATATGGAGATGAAATAAATCTTCCAACGTTCAGAAAAGAGAAAAATATATGTTTGTGAGTAAACTTTCCCAATCAAATACATATTTCAGTCACATACAGTACATAGGCTTACACTTTGCATTATTTATCATTGAGGAAAATAGAGAGAGGGAGAGATGAAAAACAATACCTCATACATTTGCAGAAAAGAAAGATATGTAGATGTCTTTGAATAAGCCTTCCGAAGCAAATACAAAGTTCAGTCACATACAGTATATAGGCCTATAACACTTTGCATCAATCTTGGAGGAAAATAGAGAGAGAGATAAGAACAAAACAATGCTAATACATTTGAAATAGAGAAAGATATATATGTTTGTGAATAAGCTTTCCCAATCAAATAAATATGTCAGTCACATACAACTTACATAGGCTTCAGTTTGCATTAGTTGTCATAGAGGAAAATAGAGAGAGATTTAAAAAAAAAAACAATGCTCATACATCTGAAGAAGAGAAAGACATATAGATGTCTGTGAATAAACCTTCCGAAGCACAATGCAGGAGCCCCTCGAGCCGTTGGATCTTCAAACGGGGGTTGAATCCATTTTCCCATAATGAGATTATTTGCGGGAATTCTAATAAAACATGCAGCAATTGGCAGTGCAGGCGCGAGGGAAGGTAATTGCCAATCGCAAGCGCGTGTACAGAATAAAACCTTTGGCGTGAGGCTTTTGAATCTTGCATTCATTTCATTTCGCTCATTCTATGCAGCATTTGAATGCACCTGCTTAAGGGATGGACGTAATGCTGAAATAACAAATTGATTCTTGCTTTCCCATTAATTACATTTGCTGTCTTTGAGGGTAGTAGCCTTCAGGAGCAAGGTTTCAGTCACAATTTGTTTTTTATTTGCAAAGCGCTGACAAAATATAGTGGCTGAATTTTTCATGTAGAGAAGTTATATACAATTAATTATCCAACACACCACAACATCTGATACATCCTGTAGAACAATATTTCTTGAATTGCAATTTTAAACAGATAAATGCCCTTTTAACTAAGGAAAATAAATAAACCATAATATTCAATACTGAAAAAGACGTATTTTCAAATAATGTTTAAAATAATCTTCTGTAACTAAGACATAAGAAAAATCAATCAATCATAAAATTTAAAATATCTTAATGTATTTTTAAAGTTGGTTTTTTTCCTTCCGACAACAAGATGAAGACCAAAAAAAAATTGGAAAAAAATTATTTTAATGCCCTTGAGCTTGTTTTATCTTTTCTTTGTTTACTTTCAGGTATTGAAATAAAGACAATCAATTAGCATGGAATCTGATGCATATTTTTATTATTTCACAAATTGCAATTCAAACACTAGCTAATGCTCTTTTAATTTATGGCTATATAGCATTGGATTATAGTAACAAAGATAGTATCAAAAACCACAAATAAATGAATTATTGAATAATATGTCTTCGGTTCTTACTTTAGATTCCATGAAACAATTTAACATAGTCATCAATGTAGCTGAATCAATTAAGTGTAGAATGTAAAAAGAAATGTCCTTGAAAGTTTTAAGGAAAATAATGAACTATCTACAGGTAGCTATTGTTGTTATCAGAGCTATTGTTGGTATTATCATCTTTTATACTGATCTTTACCATATTCCATATGTATCTTTTATTATTTGTATGTATTTTATGATTATGGTTAATCAAAATATCTTGAATCCTTATTATTCATGATATTCAGTACTCTATTTTTGACCCGAATCCTCATTCTTTTTAATCAATGTCACTTCCAGGTGGAGAATTCAGGTGACCCTTGGTTGCAATTTGCCAACAAGCAGCCCCTCTCATATTGGACGTGTATTTATTTCCTGGTCGTTACCATGTCAACAGTCGGCTACGGTGATGTGTATGCCAAAACGGTCCTTGGAAGGATCTTTGCCACTCTTTTCATCTTCGGCGGCTTGGTGAGTCGATTTTAGCCATCGTTGATTATTCCTTTCTGTTCTGGCCTATTGTTTTTGTGTTTTTTTCTCTTTTTTCTATAGAAATTGGTTTATCAACAACAATTTGTTGTTGTTGTTGAACGTTTTAGCCCTCCATAGGCTATTTTATTGAGTCAAACAAAACATTTTACAATTCAATGAAATGAAGTCTTTCTAATTCAAATAAAACAGAATACTTTCACATTTCTCTCCTTGTTGTTCATACAAACAAATGTTGAAGTGCCAGCCATTTAGTAAAAAAATTGTTATACATACCAGATGTAAAATGAAAATATCTCTCATATTCATAATATTTAATAATTTTCTTCAAAGAACTAAAATGTGATAATTTGTTATTGAGCTTTTATACGATTAGTTGATGCTTATAAATCAAAGTCACAATAAAAGTATGGTTCAACATTAGTCCAAAGTCTAGTAACGTTGCGGATACAATATGAACAAATAAAACATTCAACAGCAAAATACAGTATAGGAAATATATGAATCAAACTTAATGAATGGTAAAATTACATGTTGAGTTGGTGAAAAGAAAGAATTTTTATTGTACAATTTAGACAAATAGGTAGGAATAAATTACACAAAATGTAATATTGCAAATTTGAAATGTCATTTTGTAAGTTTAATTGTTTGCGGATTGAGAAGTAAAATCACCATGGCACAAAAGAGAGAAGCAGGCCAGCGAAATCCAGAGGGGGGAATCTAACAAAGGAAAATAATTTCTTTGGTATTGATCATACAAGGAATGTCCAGCAAGTGGTCACTGTAGACAGGTGGCCTTTTCTTGGCAGGTTATACAGTACTTTAACAAAAGTTGCTGCCCATAACAAAGGCCCTATAGATACTCACATATCTATGTTTTCAGATAAAGAAATAAGAATTGCGTTTACATTTATGTTTTTGTAAAAAGTATGCATTTTACTGCAACAAATATGAACAAGCCAGTCAATATTCTACCTTTTTTCATTAATTTTATTTCTCTTTGTCATAATGTGTTTGAATATTACTGGAAAAATGTTAACAATGGTAATGACTTTTCATCCTTCAACAGGCCTTGTTTGCCACAGTGGTACCTGAAATCTATGAAATCTTAAGCCAGAGAGGAAAATACAGTGGATCATTACAGTCAGAAAAGGGCAAAAAGTAAGTTCATGAAAGCATTCATTGTATCTTCCCAGGCCTACACGATTCATGTTACAGTCTTTTGGTTGTAAAGTGTTTGAATATGGATAGAAATGTTAACGGTGAAATTGAATGTCAATTGATTTATTTTGAATGCTGAGTGCCAGAAGGGCGTTCAAGATAATCTTGAATTCCAGAAACATTAATTCCGACAAAATCCAGTTACCGGTATCTTTAAATTCCACTTTATTTGTATGAGGGAAACACAAAAGATGGTCTTTATATGCAGGTGGTCTTTATGTACAGGTTCTTCTAGTACACATTTCAATGAGAAACCATTTTCAGGGGAAATTAGAAAATGCAGTCTCTATAGACAGGTGGTCTTTATATGCAGGTTGCTCCTAAAGCAGGTTTCACTGTGTATAACTACAGAGTAAGATGTAAAATAAAGAGGGTGTTCCTTGAACATTGTCTAGTGTCGTTTGTATTTGATTTTCATTATACAGTCAAACCTGTCTATAGTGACTGCCCAAGGGAAACTCAAAAAGTGATCTTTGTAGACCGGTTCGTTTAGTACATGTTTCAATGAGAAACCATTTTCAAGGGAAACAAAAAATGTGGTCTTTGTAGACAGGTGGTCACTAAAGCAGATTTGACTGTACATAGTATAGTAAATTCCTTTCCAGCTCAATCAGACATTATTAATCACTCAACAATTATGCCATGATGTTATGCTTTGATTCACTCATTAGTGTAGTACATTGTGATGAAAATACAAAATTCCAGGGAAGTGGAAACCCTATATAATCATCTATTGTACCCTGCTTTTGTAAAGCGTAATGCAAGCGTTAGATTACAATCTGTAACAGTGGTTGGCTACTCTTACGATACATTGTGTTTCACCAGAGGAGAAATAAGGGGCGTAGCCTAATCATGTATGTTTCATGTATGTATCACACTTTATATGTTTGCTGCTCTATGCACATGAATGAAAGATAATGTTGTCCGCTAAGAGTCAGAAGGTCATTAATCCTCATCCGTTAAAACATAGCAAAAATGCATGCTTTCTGCCCCTCAACCGACTAGTATATTCATGTGCTGATGAGGAAAATCAAATTTTTATCAAGGCCACGGCTAACACCGGCTCCCCATCAAAGCCGACACCGTCGATCACCTGACACTTGATTGAAGGGGTTGTTTACATCCAAAATACAGACGTTGTATGTGGGTCCTTGATATGCCGTCGAAGCGTTACTGATGCGCTCCTTACACGATTACCCTAACCTGGGAACGCATTGTAGCGGAAGAGATGGAGAATATCTTATTCTTTTTGAAGGAAGGGCTGGCTGGCTGTCTGGTCGAATGTCGACCTTTTTAATGGGGGCATGGAGTAAGGTGCGCGTTGATGAAGCCTCGATGTCTCGTCCTTATTATTTTGGGCAAGAGATGCTCCAAAATGCAGCAGTGGCGATGTCATCACCCTTTGACATCTTTTCTTTCTTCTTGATTTCTAATTGTTATCATGATAAGCTAGGGATGCAAACTCAGTGGGAAAAAAAAATTATTTCTGGGGATCCATATCCTATTTTTTAGAAATTTGGGGGGGCCATTTTTTCCATTTCGTAGGCTACTTTCCTCAGGGGCTAGTTTTTTCATTAATTCATAAAAGGATACAGTTTGTTGAATTTATTTAGTAGGCTCACTGGCTTATTTTTATATACCCCGGTATCTTTTTTAAGTCGCCCCCATAATCAGATTATTGGCCTATTTCGAAAGCTGTTTATGGTATTTCTGGGGCGAAGTGGCGCGCTGCCCTCGTGTATTTTTCCCTGTGCAAACTAGTGGAGCTTGAAGGTACTCTTCATTCTATTGTGGGGTTGCCTTACAAAAAAGAAAGATTGAAGTTAAACCAAGCTAAAGGTAGTTATTGATAGTTGTTCGAGTTTGGTTGTGTGCTTTTGAAACGTTTAGGACCTTTGCCATCTGGCCACTCACATGTGATTCAAATAAGAGAAAAATATTTAGCCTGTTTTACTCATTTAAAACACTGCCTGGGAAATGATTATTGAATAGAAACCTATAGATGTACATGAATATAAAGTAAAAACCAAAAATCAAAAACCTTACAAATTTTAGAAACTTTTTACTTGTCCTGTTTGAGATATAATCTTCAAGTTGAAATATTTCACACTGACAAAATACGCACACTTTCTACCAAATCATCATCATAGCTGCCAACCATTCATATTTTAGAGGAATAATTCCTATTTTGGGGGCCTGCAAGCTATTGTTTTGACCCTAGATTCCTCTCCTGTTCTGAAATATTCTGTGTTAAAAGTATACAAAATAGACTGTATTCCTAATTTTGCCTTGAGAGAATTTTAATTTTTGCTGTTAAAGGTTGGCAGGTTATGCATCATCCCTTCCTAAACATTGTGTTTACAAACCAAAACCTCGATTCTTAATGACCCAGTAAGTAAATCATCATCATCCTGTGCTTGATTAAATGCCAAGCACCTGTAATAGCTTGTTGAAAATAAAAAGACCCCCCACAAAAAGGTGTCATATCTCCCACGGTTAGCGTTCTCAATGCCATCTGGCTACTAACTACCAGGAGTGTAATTACGAGATATTGTCTTTCATTATAATAAGAGCTTGATGTGCAACCCATTAGAATGGAGCGGATCAGTCATTAATCGGCCCTTCAGACACGGCAGCATATCGTGTCGAACATCTGCTAGATTTCACGCCGATATGATTAAGTTATAGAGTTAATTTGGATGTAGATGTAGTCAAAATTTGTTTTCTTTGCAGTAATGGATTCTCCTTGCTTTCTAGGAGTATATGCAATAGTTCCAGGGTATCATTTTAACGTTTTTATTAATTATTCTTTAAATTCTGTGTTGATTTTTGTGGTGTGTGAGGAAGAGAAGACCAGGCACCTATGACAAGTCCTCATCCTTGATCATGCACTGGTGGGTGTTTCATGCAGGCCTGGAAGAGAGGAGTAAAATATAATCATAACAAATATAATTTGATTAACACATAGGCCTCATTCAGATATGACATGGCAAAGCCACAGCTTTTTAAAAAAGTTAATGATGACATGAAATACATTTCTGTTTCTTATAACACAGAACTAAGGGAATACGCACAGGACTTAAGTTGTGTGCAGTTGCCATATATTTACATGTAAAAAACAAATAGCGTTTTTTTTATTAAAATTTTTTTTTTACCGCGTCATATCTGAACAAAATTTACGAGCCTATTCTTCAGTTTATAAGGCAACAGTCTTGTGGTATCTTTGGTTTGAGACTGTGTCGGTCTACCTGTGCCCATGGCCAAGGCATTAATTACCCATTTCTATCACCTAGTTCCTCGAATAGATAGGTCCCCTGCGTGCCATACACACGCAAATTACTTTCGTAGCAGCGTGTCGAAATATATACAATTAATCAGTCAACCAATCTATGTATTGGCAATAGGAATCGGCCCTGAGTAGATCGATACAATAAACGTGTACATATCTATAATAAATGGAATAGTCACATTCCCATTGCCTCATTCCTTCTTTAATAGGTATGCTTTAAGCTGAAATGTGATATTAAACCTGCCAGTGTACTCTTCAACTCATAATAAATAAGGGAAACATGTCTTTTGAACATAGTGAACCACACAGGAGACACCCCTGCCCCGTACATGATATCTTTTAGAACGATGGGTTGAACGCGTAAGAGGGGGCGCAAGCGATGAGTTGTTTACATCGCAGGGAATTAATCAAGATGTTGGGCAAATGATTGAGTGAGGGAACCCCATGCGTGTAAAAGCGGTGTTTATAGCGTTCAAATTTGTTTAGACGATGAGAGGCGGTACGGAGCATCTGGCATTGAGTCAACATCGACGGGGCTTGATTAGAGCGGGGAGGGTGGACGCGCACCGCATTCTCCCGAGAATCGAGTTAATCAACCCTGTGCTCATATTCGCACACTTGTTTTATTGGCCGTCCAAGCAGTGTGCGTTTAATGGGCCTGTTTGCACTGGGGTTTTAATACGCTTCACCTCGATAGCAGCACAGTGTACAAATAGAGCTGAGCCTGATGATGGGGGAGCCACTGATTGGTACCGACGCCATACCTATATGCTGATTCATATTAGAATCCTGTGTGACTTAACTGTCTTACTTTAGTTTGTAATCTCCAAATATTAGAAACAAATTAAGGTATATTGGGCCCATTTTCCAATGGCACACATTCTCAACTTGGCCACCCCCCCCCCCCCCCCCCCCCCCCCCTTCCAAAATGACCTAAATATGTCCAAGATTGATTTTATTAGAAAATATTTAGTCCAGCAATTAATCTCATGTTACAATGTAGTTTAGCTATTTATAACATTTGTTTACTTTGTAAAATGTCTCCTTTTCTGTCCATTTCCCATTGCTTTGATTTTCCACTGGAGAAAAATGTGTTCACAGCAGCTTTACGTGTTTGTGTCTTGCTTATTATCATCTAAAATGAGAATAATCTAACAATTTTTATTCTTTTTAAAATATTTTTTATGGGGAGAGAGGGGGGGGGGGCTTTATAGGAGGGTAACTATACTTTGTTGATGTATATGCATATACCTGTATACCTCAGTCTTGGAGGAATTGATGTAGTCATTTGAAATAAACCCACTTGCCAGGTTGCGCTAGTGTAAACGCACCCCTAATTGAATTTCTGTGATCTGACGCTGCTGCAGTGGCGATATATAGAGCACTGGGCGGTGGGCCACTTAAGCCAATGATGGCAAGAGGGTCGACAAATTTTAAATGGATTAAGCACTATTGTAGCCTTCAAGTCGCATCACTCCTCGGCATGTCACTGACTCGGCTAATGACAGGCTTCGTCTGTTTGCCTCCCTCTCAAACATTAACTTGGCAAACACAAGCCATACTTGTAAATCACTTAATTCGCTGGTCAATCGGCTGTTACTAGACATCGGTAACTTCCCCGCGGCGGAGTTTTCATCACCTTTATCGGATCATCTTTAAAAAAGAGAAACTGTGGCATTAAGATAGATTAGATCTAGGTGTGTTTGTTTTAATAGGACTTTCCATGTGTCTGAATTCATTAGTACTTAAATCGCTTTTGATTCCTCCGCCTATGAGTCTACTCAATTAGCTGAATTCTCTCCCTTTTCCACACACCTTCATGGTATAGTCGAGACAATTAATGTGGCATTATTCTGTATCTCTGGGGTAGTAATGTTTGCTGTTTAGTTGTGGAATATTTTGGGTGTAGATGGAATCCTGGAACTGTCTGCTGAGTAGCCGGAAGAGCATTAGCTCATATACTTTAACATGGATGTAATGTCCTTCCGAACAAAGTCATTATACTCAGGCTAAAAGTTATTTGGTCTAATTTCCATATGGTCTACTATCAATTTTGTCTATTGTTCATTAAGTAGACAAAATGATTATTAGACCTTTTGCATAGACGGGCTGGGTATAGACCATATGGGAATAGACCAACTGGGTAGTAGACGAACTGGTGGTAGACCAAACGGTAATGAACCAACCGTACCTGATATTGGCTTCCATGAGGCTGT